CGCGGGCCACGCGGCCGCCGCGGCGCGGGGGGCGCCTGCCCCATGCGCCGGTGCCCAGCTTTGAACCGCAGCAGGCCCCTGGTGCACGGAGCTCGGACACAGCGCTCGACAGCACGCACGCCCTGGATGGCATGCGTTCCCTGGACTGCTCTGCAGCCCCTTGGTTGCGCTGAGAGGTGCGCAAGGGGCCGGGCCTCCACAACACCCGGACTCCGCCGCTGCCTGGGAGGCAGGGCGCTGCTGCCGGCTTGTCTGTTGCCACGCACGGTTTTGTGGGCCCGCGTGCTTGACCGCTTTCGTCGGCGCGCATGGCCGTGGGCTGGCGCGCCCACTGGTTGGCCAAACTGCCGAGTCCACTGGCCCAGCCTGGCGCACTGCGCCGCCGCCGCCGCAACACACTGCACGCGCGAGCCGCACTTGCTGCGAGGCTCTCGCCTGTATCGATGGGGGGCTGTCGGCTCCCGCCGCTCCTCGCTCTCACCTCGCCCAGTTGCTTGCCGTCGCTTAGACTAATCCTCTTGCTCTGCTTGATTTGTTGCGTGCGTGTCTGTGTGCGCGCGGTCGTCGAAGACTCGGAAAGCGCCGGCGAGTGAGCGGGCGGTCTGTGTCCCCGCTTTGACGGGGCATGCGGCGCATGATGCGCAAAGCAGGGTCAGCGCGTGCACATGCATCCGCATTTGGGCTTGCTGGTGTGGTCCCCATGCGATCCCACTCGCCCGGCAGCGCCCTGTGGTGCCGCTCCGGCGAGCGATCCAGGCCTGGCGCATCAATCCGACAGCAAGTGCATGCCGTGTCCCCAGGACAAAGCCAGCGGCATACATATATGCCTTCCAACCCGCTTTGCCAGCGTTTTTGCACGCCAATGGGCCCTCTGCTCCTGCGCCAGCAGCGCGGGCTGTGCGGGGCCAGCGCCCGTTGCAGCAGCGCGCAGCGCTGTGTCTCCTCATGTCTCACCCCCAGCGATGCTTGTTTGCAGCTCGTGAGGCATCTTTTGCAGTAACAAGGCGTTTTGTGCATGCAAGCGGGGCATCGGATCTTACAGGTCTCCAGCACTCAAAATGAATCCACTGGTGTTTGGCAGTGACAAGCAGAAGCCGTTCGTAACGTCTTGTCAATAGCAAGGCATTATCGTCAGAAGCCTTTTCAGGGCACCGGCGGTGCCATTGTCTCCCAAAACCTGGGCGCGGGCCCGCATGCAGCAGCAGGCATTGCAGCAGCTGCACCAAGGTAGGGCAGTACCCCCCTCCCCATGCAGCAGCAGAGCAGCCCCACCGTCAGCACTCAGGTTCTTGTACCGTGTTCTGGTCATCAAAACTCTACACAGCTTAGATGCGATAGATCCGGCGCCATGGACGAGGACGACGAGTTTGGGGAGCTCTTTGGTGCTGCGGCACCAGCACCTGTGAAGAGCGTGTCTTTGCCTCCTGCCAATGGTGGTGAGTCTTGCGTAAGCAGTGGCCGGGGAGCCAGATCAGCCATCCGAGCACAGTCCTGACCCGCTCCCGTCTGCATCCCCACAGGTCTGCAACACCAGCAATCGGTGAAAGCAACAGAGGAGGATGATCTGTATGGGCAGGTAAGCCCGTTTGCAGCATCGCCGTGGGCAACCGTCCTGTGACGCCAGCGGAGCGCATTGCACGCCGACGGCTGTTGTTTCAGTGAGCCTCACCGAGCCTTGGTCATCTGCCACATCCCGCAGCTTTACGCGACAGCATCTGTTCAAGAGGACGCGTACCAGGTTTCAGAGCCGCAGGCACCGCCGCAGCAGCTACAGCAGGTGCTTACACAGCCAAGCGTCGGCGCCCTGCCGAGCGGCGGCGGGGCCGCCCCTTCCGCGGTACCTCCTTCAGCTGTGGCTGCGGCGCCCGTGCAGCAACAAAACGACGACGACGTAAGCGTTGGCTGGCTTTTGTTTGTTGCGCCATGAGTGCTGTGTTTGCCTGCTGCAAGAGTCGGTCGACATCAGCTGTGTGACTCAGCGCCACCCGGTGGTGGGCCACATCCTGCTGCAACCAGGGGCAGCACTTGCGTTGCGCACAGCCTTTGTGGACGCCGTTCACGAGCTCCCTTTTCAAGCCACTTTTTTCGAAGCCATGAGCTCTAGCCGATTCAGGCACTCTCAAAACGCAGTCAGTCGTGTGACACACACACACACACACACACACACACACACACACAAAAACAGGACGATTTTGATATCCTGCTTGATGAAGACGCCCCAGCAGCCAGCGGCGCTGCCGCTGCCACCGCCGCTGCCGCGGCGCCCCTGGCGCAGCAACCGAGCGCCCAGGGGTCGCTGCAGGAGGCGCCCTCAGGGCACACATATGTGCGGCCCATACCTAACGGCGCCGGCGCGGCGGCGGCGGCGGCAGTCCAGCACCCGGCGCAGCAGCTGCTGCGGGGCCCGGCGGCGCATGGCGGCAGCGCAGCAGCGGCTGCAGTACGGTCGCTGCCAGGGCCCCCGCCAGGCCTGCCCGGGCCGCCGCCGGCGGAACGG